ATAGTGGCAGAACAAAAAATATAATTTGTGATTCAGTGAAATCATTGAATCATAGATTTTCATCCCTTTAGACCAATTCCTTGTATTTTTATTTGATTAAATTTAAATATATTTCAGAACCAATTTTTATTTTTTTAAAGCAATTTTAAATAAACTTTAAATCAATAAACCAACTTTAATATTTTAAATAAACTACTATGTAGTACGAAAATAAATCCCTTTTGAGGCAAGGATAGCTTCATTATTCCTCAGGCTATCATTAAAATCTCGTCTGCATGTCGTTCAGACAATTTTTGGTGGACAAATTAAACTAATAATAATCTAAAAAATTTGCAAGACCGCAGCCTACACCAAAACCCAAGCTTCTCATCGCAAATGTGTACGTAGATATCACAATTCGTATCTATCATCAAAAGCAAATTCATTCAATAAGAAATTAGCTGTGTGTATGTAATTTTTCGCAAGATATTTATTTATTTATTTATTTCAAAGAGTCAATAAACTACAATGGTTCTTACTGATTAAAACGATAGCTTAGACTTAAATTACGAAGTAGAGTTAAGTGAATTATTAAACGCTGTTTTCGACAAAGAAAAATCAAGCCTAATGGAATTCGGGATCTCGTTGAGTTCACGAAGTGATAGCGCCAAAGGAGCGTTCCTCACTTAATTGGTAATGAGTTTCTTTAAATAAAAGGGATGATAAGAACGTAGCGTCTTCGTTGGAGTAAGAAAGTGAATAGCTTTAAGTAAGGAGGGGCAATCAATTTCACCATTTATAACACCAAATATAAAGCACAAAGATTTCTAAAGACTTAAGATTTATAAGGAGGAGACGGGAATGATAGGAAGGGATCGGATCGCAAAAATTTAGAGATCGAAGGGCGAACTTTAGGAAATTTTTTTTTTTATGATGTTCAAAAATATTTTAATGTTTTTAAGCATTATGTCTGAAAGTTACCAAATGAAATCAGAAGGTACCAATTACCAAGGAGAATAAAAGCTACTAATTTTGGTAATATTTCACCCAAGTGGCAACCTTCCATGGTCAACGTCATCACCAGATTCACTTTAATGTTTCCTTATTGCTGTAAAATTAAAAATGTATGAAAACTAAAATATAATTTTTATTTTCGTCAAACCATTCATTTCTGTGCGCTATACAACTATACATGTGAAAATGAAAATCAAAATGACTTCTTTCAAATAACCCATGCCAAATGAGAGATTTAATTTATTCTCTTCTTCTTCTTCTTTTTTGGCGCTGTAACCGCCTAAGCGATTTTGGCCGAGTTCAGCAAAGCACGCCAGTCGTTTCTCCTCTGTGCCAACTGACGCCAATTGGAAACGCCAAGTGAAGCCAAGTCCTTCTCCACCTGATCTTTCCATCGCAGTGGGG